GCCATGTCCCTCAGGGAAGCCAACTGGAAATCTTTGGTGGACAGCAGTAATGACTACCACAACCTTTTTGAAAGGCCTAGCACTAAACTTTTGGGGTGTGTGCCTGGTCCCAAGGGAAAAACCTTAAGCCTAAGGTTGGAAGCTGGAAAAATGGAGGTCCATTTTTCTGTGCATACTGCTGTACCTGCCCTGGCATAAGAAGTACAACAGGAGCTCCTGCATCAGCAGCCCCTACATCTGAGCAGTCTGAACCACACGCTTCAGGCCTCTCCAATTCCCTGGTTTGACATAGAATCCCATGGTCACCAGTTTCCCCACTCCTGCTGGGTGAGCTGCACATAATCCATGACCACCCACTTTGGATTTTTCTGGGAGGGTGGAGGTGATGGGAGTGGCAGTGGTGATGGACCAGCAGAGTGATGAGTTTGTGAGACCCTCAAGTATCACACCACGTAAAACCATCAGTCAAGATTGATACCATGGGATTACTGCATGCTCCGTAAACCTACCCTAGCGAACGCATTAGAGGACATAAGAAATAAGATATAGCCCCTGCTGTCAAGAAGCTTATGATCTGTGAGGTGAGTTAGGACACTGTTACCTTGTGTTATAATTTTTCTCTAAGTGCCAAATGAATGGTACCAAAATATTAAGTTATGATGGCCAAAGCAGAGTTCACTGCAGACTTGATTGGAATGGAAAGGCTTTGTGGGAGACTTAGAGCATGAACTGGTCACGGACAGATTGGGGGTGCCTTATGTGGGTAAAAGGAAAGGAAAGAATATGATGAAAGGCACAGGCATGGATATCTCATGTCTGTTTCTGGCATGTATATGGACACACCATACCACCAAGTTGGAAATGGAGGGTGAGGCTACAGAAGGTCTTTCACATTAATCTAAGGGGAGGAGATTTTAAAAACTAAAGTTAAAAGAATGGGGTGCCTGGGTGGCTTAGTTGATTGAGCGGCTGACTCGGTTTCAGCTCAGGTCGTGATCTCGGGGTCCTTAGATGGAGACCCATGTAGGGCTCCATGCTTGGCGGAGAGTCTGCTTGAGATTGTCTGCCTCTCCCTCCCCTTCATGCTCCCACCTCTCTTTTTCTCAAATAAGTAAATAAAATTTAATTGAATGGGGGGGGTGTTGTCTTTATTCTTTTTGCAAACAGAGGCTAGAGGGCCAGCCAGGGAAACTTTGCAATGGATTCTTGTTTTATGTGGAAGGTTGGGCAAATCACTATTTCCCAAACTTGGTGGTGCAAATCACTATTTCCCAAACTTGGCGGTGCAGCAGAGCTCCAGCCCCACCCCTACACCCACCCCCTACTACAAGCTTGCTAAAAATAGATCTTCTTTTTTAAAAGATTCCCTCATAACACTCAGGACCTATCCCCAGAGACTCCGCTTCTGTATATCTGGGATGGGATCCAGAAATCCGTACCCTTCACAAGATTTCCCACAGATAGAGCTGGTCTGAGAATCCACCAGGACAGGCAATTTCTACCTAGACATGGCACATATTAAAAGTTGAATTTTTCAGTCATATCCCTGAAAACTAGCTCCTTTTCTTAAAACAAAATATTTTATTTATTCATGAGACACACACACACACACACAGAGGCAAAGACACAGGCAGAGGGAGAAGCAGGCTCCATATAGGGAGCCTGATGTGGGACTTGATCCTGGGACTCCAGGATCATGCCCTGGGCTGAAGGCAGACACTAAACCACTGAGCCACCCAGGGATCCCCTGAAAACTAGCTCCTGTTTGTATTCACTTTATTTCTGTGGCAGGTGTGTACCCCACACACACACTGGACATAGCTCCTCGGTGCTAGTCTGGAATTCTTGCTCACATCAACTCCACTTCCAGTTGGCTACCGCCTCTTATTGCATATCATTTACAGCTCTCTCTCTCTCTCTCTCTCTCTCTCTCTCTCTCTCTGTCATTTCCTCCTTCCTGTTCCTGCTCCTGCTACATTTGGCCAGACGTTTTCTCCCCTGACACTTGGACTCTGTAGCATCCTCCCAACTAATCTCTTGTCCCCCTCAATCCTTCCCACACGTGGCCTGCAGGTCAGTCTCCCTATCAGCCTCATGACTGGCTCAGTCACTGCTCCACCCCACTTACTGAATCCAGCACCTCAGCCTATTTTCCCTTGTTGTTTAAAGTCCTAGCCAATGGGCACTTGGGTGGCTCAGTGGTTGAGCATCTGCCTTCAGCTCAAGTGGTGATCCCAGGGTCCTGGGATGGAGTCCTGCATCCCTCCCTGCAGGGAGCCTGTTTCTCCCTCTGCCTGTGCCTCTGCCTCTTTTTCTGTGTCTCCCATGAATAAATAAATAAAAATTCTTAAATAAATAAATAAAAATAATGTCCTAACCAAATGGGACCATGTTCCTTCTAAACATTCCCACCCCAAATTTTTTTTCTAGGCTGTCCCCTGGGTAACACTTCTACTACCACCCTCTGGTCTGAAATGCTCTCTGTTTATTAAAATTCTCCCCGTACTTCAAGATCCAATTCAAATTTTACCTACTCTATAAGGTCTGCCCTGTTTGAAAAAAAAAAAAAAAGGAAAAAAAACATACACAGGCATAACACACACACATGCACACCCATGCTTTCTTCCCAGTCATATGCTAGGCAGTTTGCCAATCTTGGAAAGTACATATATGAATGGGCCCAACCACCTGTGGGTGTGGCTTTCAGCTCTGCTCAAAAGTGGACTCTTTATTGGAGGTAACAACCAGCCCAATCAGATCCTTTCTCCTGGGAAGAATTCACTGGAGAGACACAGGCTGCACCCTGCCCCACACTGCTCACATTCTTGGTGAGGCAGGTGATCCGTTTCATCATGGAAGTGCTGGGACCCTGAGAGGCCATATTACCACGGAGATAACACCTCTGTTTCCTTGAAAAGGAAGAAGCCCCCTTCCCCGAGGTAATCCAGCAACTGACCAACCAACATGTGGCACCCTGAGACTCTGAGCAAGCTCTCCTGCAGAGCCCAGCATATAGGCCATAGTGAGAGCAGACACGGTGGTCTTCAGTTGGTCAAAGCAAATTGGGGTGAAAGGAAACCCAGACTCAGGAAAGTTACAGAATAGCCCAGTCCCATCTTTCACTGTACATCTGAGAGGCTGGCTGTCTTGCCCCAAGATTTGCACCAGCTCCGAATTTCCTTCTAAATTTGCAATTTTGTGAAGTTTTATTTTTTTTTTCTTAATAAGATTCTCTAAATCATATAAGATTCAAGCCCATAAAACGTGTTTCCACCCTGGCAGAGGGAATGTGTTACTTGGGAGAGGAAGGAATCACGCAGAAACAAAGCTAGAAGAGAAAGATAGGAAAAGGAACATTCTCCTGCAGAGAGTGGATCCACTATATCCTTTCAGGGACTTACCCCAAAAGGGAGCCAGGGTTCCCACCTGGAAATCCTCTCTCTCTCCCCTACTCCATCCCCACATTTGAGGGGCAAACTTCAAGAGCTGGGGGCAGGGGCACCTGGGACGCTCAGTGGTTGAGCATTTTTAGTTTTTAGTTCAGGGCATGATCCCGGGGTCCTGGGATGGAGTCCCACATTGGGTTCCCCACAGGGAGCCTGCTTCTCCCTCTGCCTGTGTCTCTGCCTCTCTCTGTGTGTCTCTCATGAATAAATAAAATCTTAAAAAAAAAAAAAAGGAAGAAAGAACGAACGAAAGAAAAGCAACAGCCTGGCTAATAACATCAGTGAGAAAAAGAGAATCAGGCTCAGGAAGCTGACTCCTGAGCAAAGTGTCCCCCTCACCCCCACTCCTAGGGAGGCTCCGCTTTTACACACAGAGAAGAATGCATCTGCGATGACCTCTGTTCTCTACCCTCAGGCCAGGCTGGTGGAGAGAAGGCGAAGAGCCTGTGAAGACCCGGGTCTGCTAGACCCCAAAGCCCAGCAGAGGGCTGGACCACGTGGGGCGTAGGTTCCTCTTTAGGAAAAGTTCGAAATGCGGCTTTGTGACCACATGGGGGCCCCCTTCCAAGGCTCCTTCCATCCGCGAGCCTGGGTTTACCTCTTAAGGAGTTTTTCCGTTTATTTATTTAATTCTTGTCGCCTTTTTGTTTTAAAAATGGTTCTTATCACTACAAAATAAAAACACGGATTGGAAAAATAAAATGTTAGAAAATGTGTAAAAACGGCCCGTGGTCTCACTGTGAAGGAAAACGGAAACTACTCCGTGTTCATCTATATGCCTCCAAACTGGCACGTGTGTTTTTTTTTTTTTTTTCTTTTACACAAGACTGAGATCATTCTAGACAGGCTGCTCCTCTTAAAATACCACGAACATCTTCCCACACCAAGTTCTTCACCAAAATAATTATAAATATGGTATTGTGTTCATTCCATTTAGAAATATTTGTTATAAATAATAAACACATTACAGAGAATTCTAAGTGGCTGCCTCCCGGGATTTACCCGACTATCTTCCTATTGTTGGAAGGATTTATTGCATCTCAACCCAACACAGACGTGAGCTACAGCTGTCTAACTAAATAAATACATGAAAAGCCCAGACCGCCTGGCAGGACCTAGAGCAGCAGAGGCGACGTGGCGGGTGCCCTTGTGGGAGAAGGCGCTGGTCCCCCGGGCTCGCAGGGAGAGCGGCTGCTGTCGCCGCGGGCACCCCCCACCCCCGCGCGGCTGGTCCCTGGAGCTTTAATGAGCGGGTCTCGGGCGCGTGGGGTCCAGAGCGCGAGGCGCGGCGGGTCGGGTGCGGGGTCCGGGCGGTGACTGAGCGCACACGGGGCTGTAGGCCGGTGGGTCCCGGGGCGGGGGGGGGGGGGGAATCTGGAGGCCAGTGGGTCGGAGGTCAGGGGCCAGTGGGTGTGGCAGCGTTGGTGCGGGGGGAGGGCAGTGGGTCGGGAGGGGTCGGGAAAACTGAGTCAAGCCGCGTCGGTGGTCGGTGGTTCAGGGGGTCGGGGGGCTGGCAGGTCGGACAGCGCCCGTGGGTCCACGTGGGTCTGTGGGTCAGTGAGTCAGGGGGCCGGGGTCAGGAGGCCGGTGGGGCGGGCAGCGTCGGCGGGCGGGTGGACCGGTGGATCCGGAGGTCGGGGGCGTCGGGGAGTCGGGGGGTGGGGGGGCAGGGGGCAGGGGGGTCGGAAGGTCCGGAGTGGAGCGGTCGGGGAGTCGGAGGCCGGTGGGTTGGGGAGTCGGGGGGGTCGGAGGGTCCGGAGTCGGGGGGTCGGGGGGCCGGGGGGGTCGGGGGGCCGGGGAGGGGCGCCCGGGAGTGGGTCGGAGGGTCCGGAGTCGGGGGTCGGGGGGCCGGGGGGTCGGGGGGCCGGGGAGGGGCGCCCGGGAGGGGGTCGGAGGGTCCGGAGTCGGGGGGTCGGGGGGCCGGGGGGGTCGGGGGGCCGGGGAGGGGCGCCCGGGAGGGGGTCGGAGGGTCCGGAGTCGGGGGTCGGGGGGCCCGGGGGTCGGGGGGCCGGGGAGGGGCGCCCGGGAGGGGGTCGGAGGGTCCGGAGTCGGGGGTCGGGGGGCCCGGGGGTCGGGGGGCCGGGGAGGGGCGCCCGGGAGGGGGTCGGAGGGTCCGGAGTCGGGGGGTCGGGAGGCCGGGGGGTCGGAAGACCCAGATCCAGGTGATCCGCAGGCGGGTGGTCCGGCGGGTGGGTGGGTCTGCTGGCCGCTGGGCGGGGCGGGGCGGGGCGGGGCGGGGCGGGGCGGGCGCCGCGCCTGCCGTTCGCCTCTCCGGGCTGCAGGTGGGGCTGTGCGGCCGCGCTGCCTCCAGGAAGCCTCACGGGCCTGCGCCGGCTCCCAGGATGCAGTGTGGACCGGCCGGGCGCTGACGGCGGCGGCGCGTCTGCGGGCGGAGCGGCGCGGGCCGGCCAGCGAGGAGCGCGGCGACGCGGGCGGGGAAGGCTGGGCCGGGCGGGCGCCGCCTGCGGAGAGGCCGGGGGCCGGCCTGCGTGGAGCCGCGCGGCGGCGGCGGCGGCGGCGGCGGCGGCGGCGGCGGCGGCGGCGGCGACTTCCTCCGGGCCGGGCCGGACAGCGCACGGCCATGGCCGAGGCGGCCGCGGCTCCGGTAAGGGCGGCCCGCGCGCACCGACGCGCGGACTCGGGGCCCGGGCCCAGCACTCGGCGCCGCAGGCCCCGGGGAGGGGCTCCGTGGGCCGCGCCGGGCCCCCGGGCCTGGGCCCGGGCGAGCGGGGCGCGGGGTCCGCCGGGGCCTACGGCGCCCGGGTCGGGCCCCCATCCGCGGCCGAGCCCGAGCTGGGCGGAACCGGCCGTGCCCGCAGCGGAGGCCGCCCCACGCCGAGTTCCTGCAGCCCTCCGCGGCTTCCTGCCCCCGCCCCATCCGCTGGCCCCTTCATCCCCGCGCCCCCCACCCCGCGTCTCCTTTCTCTGCCCACCGCTCTGCCTCAGCGTTCCTACCCCCCAGCTCCCCCCAGCGGCCTGGTGGCACCTGGGAGGTGTCCGAAGCGGCTTCGATTCCGCACACACCGAGTGCCCAGCCCGATCGAGGTCGGGGCGGAAGACAGCTGCTCCCTCTTGTAGAAGCAGGCGGGCACCAGCCCTGTTAGCATTATTTTGTCCTCACAACAAACCTGTAGGGTAGGTGCTCGTTCCGTCACGCAAAAGAAACACCCGAGGCCTGGAGAAGTTAACTTGCCTGGGATCGCACAGCTAGAAAGTGTGTGGAAAGACCCAGTTGGTCCGTGTTCAGGGGCATATTGTGTGTTGGGGGATCAGGCAGGTACCCTGGTGATAGTAGTGCAAACAGAAAGAGGTGAGTGGTTCTTGCATTGAGGTAGAAAGGTGCTGTGGGAGGGCAGGGGAAGGAGAGGGAGGGGCTGGCACCCCTTCCTGACCTGTGCTTCTGTGATTTGAGCTGGGCTTTTAGGGAAGGCTAAAGGCCGGATTTCACCCGGCGGAGTGGACCAGTGGAACTTTTCAGGTAGGGAGGTTGGCTGGCACTCCCAGGGAGAAGACAGTGCCCAGCATGTTCAAGGACTAGAAAGCAATCACTGCTCCCTGGGAGATGGTTTTGGTAGGGAGGCAGTGGGAGAGAAGGCTGCAGGGAGAGTTGGAAGGGGTTTTAATGCCTGGACTTCATCCTGTGGGTGCAGAGTCCTTGAAGAATTTGGAGTCTCTTACCATCAGGTCCTCCCAAGGGTAGGGCTTCTGCTCTCTTGGCAGGAGTCTGAGGACAGCCCCATAGTATCCACCCACCATTTAGTAAGGAGCTGGGCCTGAGCAGAAACAGCCACCACCTCCCACTAAATGGGGTGAAGGTCTTATACAGGGCTCCCTGCCCCCATTAAAATGGTGAGCGCACTGTGTGTGCCTTAACTGTTTATAAGGGAGTTGAGTTTATGCGGGTGTCCTTTTCCTGCAACGCAAAGTTTGCAGTAATACAGCAGTCAACTGCATGTGGAGGCTGAATAGGATTTCAGCAGCTGGGGAGCTGGGTGATGAATCAAATGGATACTTCTGGAGCGAACTCTTGGAGGCTGGAGTCAGATGGCAGGGACTGATCAGAAAGGATAAGAGGGCAAGGAAGGAATACCAGCTGTCAAGGGTGGCCTGAGGTGCCAGCCCAGCACAGTCCCTGCAGCCTTGGGGCAGAAGCACCCACCCCTGGAGAGCAAGAGTCCCTCCAGGGGCTCTCTGCCTATCCAGCTGCTCCCATCCTTGGAGACCCAAGTGAGAAAGCCCCTTTTTTTGGGTCAGAGGTCATCTGATGCAGCCTCCCTCCAAACAACCACAGAAGCACTGATGGTGTTTGATGGTTGTTTTTTTGTTTTGTTTTTTGTTTTTTTAGTTTTTTTTTTGTTTGTTTGTTTTTTGGGTTTTTTTGGCCTCTGCTCTTACTCTCCTCTCACTGTTTGCTGTAGTTCTCGATGACTTTCTCCAAATGAGCCCACGCTGGTTCCTACTAGTCATTTCATTATGCAGATAGTCACCAATCATTTGTTTGTGAAGAATTTCCAGAATGTTGTAAGGAAACATCCGTCCTCAGGCACTGCCAGAAGAAGGCACAGATGTCTGGACCTTCTCTCTGACCCAGGGGTCCCACCTTCAGATGTGGGTTGGGCAGGTGGTTCGGCCCCTACCCAAAGCAAAATGTGCCCTTTCCTCAGGGTCTCCCAATTGCCAGTCAGGTCATTCAAGCTACCATGTGAACTTTCCAGCAACAGGGAATTAAGTCACTGCTTGGGAGAAGCTTTATGATAGTTGTCATACATACAAAAATCTAGCTTTATGGCATGTGTTTTACCTTAAAAATCTGTAAGGTGTGCCACTGATCCTGGGGTAGTTACAAAAATGTCTCAGACCCTTGAGAGGGGTGGGTATGGTGAGAGAAACAGACTCTGGGGCCCCAGTGGACCTGTGTTGATTTTGCCCCCTTGACCAGCCACACTACCTGTGTCAAAAAGTCTAACTCTTGGCCAGGGGAGATTTACACTAATGGTGATGTTTAGTTTAAGGAGGAGCAGCTGGGAGGAGACCATCTGATTGTACTGGGGGAAGAGGAATTAGCTGTTTGATTTTTATGTTTATTAAAAAGAGGCACGAGATGCTTTAAAAAAAAAAAAAAGGAAAAAAAAAGCAGTTGAGCAATGCTCATGTTTGTGCTGGTTCAGTGAACCAGCTGTTTTTTTTGCTAGGTCATCATCCGTAGACAGTTCCTGTGTGATTATGATGGGAGGTGCTGGCTGGGCTCTAGTAAATCTGCAGTTTACTATTTATCCCCTGAAAGGCTCTGGCAGTGCTAAGTCACTGTTTATTTAACAGAATTGCGCTGAGCACCTTCCACGGGCCACGTGCTGTGCTACAAAAGATGCAGTGCTGCCTTCAGAGAGCTGGGCTGGGCAGATGCGGGAGGGCACCGGGCAGGGCAGTGAGTGCCAAGCTGTGGAGGGAAGGTGGTGCACAGCGCACATCGGTGGTGCCTGGGTTACCCAGAGGAGCTGATAGCTAGGCTGAGATCGTGCATGTGGCACAGGGAATCCCCACTTTCAATAGGAGCTCCGCGCCCCTTGCCAAGCTCCCCTCCCCCTGGGGGAGAGGGGCTCCAGGAATGTGGTGGAAGGATTGAGTGGTCACAGACTTCTCTTTGTTTCTGAAAGATTTCTCCGTGGACGATGGCAGCCACAATTCAGGCCATGGAGAGGAAAATCGAATCGCAGGCTGCCCGCTTGCTTTCCCTAGAAGGGCGGACAGGGATGGCCGAGAAGAAGCTGGCGGACTGTGAGAAGACGGCCGTGGAGTTCGGGAACCAGCTGGAGGGCAAGTGGGCCGTGCTTGGGACCCTGCTGCAGGAGTACGGGCTGCTGCAGAGGCGGCTGGAGAACATGGAGAACCTCCTGAAAAACCGAAATTTCTGGATTCTGCGGCTGCCACCAGGCAGCAAAGGAGAAGTCCCCAAGGTATCCCTCGGGCACCTGGGGTGGGGTGGTCTGAGGGGTGGTGCCTGTAAGTGTGTGGGTGAGCGTGTGTGACGCTGTTCCAGGTGCCTGTGACCTTTGATGATGTGGCCATGTATCTCTCTGAGCAGGAGTGGGGCAAGCTGGACGAGTGGCAGAAGGAGCTCTACAAGCACGTGATGCGGGGCAACTACGAGACGCTGGTGTCCCTGGGTAAGGCCTGATACTCATTTTTCTGTTAAATGTGATTTTGAGTGTCCCCAAACTCCTCTCCATGCTGGTGGCTTTCGTCACCAGGATATGTAAATCACTAGAAACTCTGACCGTGCAAAGAGTTATTTCCTCCTCTTACTAAAGATGAGTACCAGGTGACCGAGTCGAAAGCTCCCTGTACCTGGTGAAGTTCACAGGTTGCCAGACAGAGAGGGGTGGTGGCATTTCTCCTAACCAGGCACGGAGCATGGACGTCTCTGTCCTGCTGAGACAGAGTCAAGCCTCTGACTGCTCTCAGGTCCAGGATGTCATGGGCCCAGATTCCTTTGGCCTTCTCTTACAGGAATATGTGGTCTTTCTGGTGACATTCCTCTGGGTTAGTGAAGAATCTGGGCAGACCATGCTTCCCGTGGCCAGTTCTGTCTTCATCCCTCGAGGCTCTGCTCCCTCAGACCCTGGGGCCACTGTCACTGTCCACACATGGTAGCCCCAAGAGGCTGTTCCTTCCAGGGCTTCTTTCCTCTTGGCACGGTTTTGGTTTCTGTGTGACCTCAGATCTGTAGGCAGTAAGGCATGCTCAGTGAAGATGGGAACAGGTGTAGGCGTGACATTATATTTCAGTTTGAAGAAATGCACTGCTGCCTAATGGGGAGACTCTACCAGTGTTTCTTCACCTGGACACTGATATTTGGGGCCAGATGATTGTTGTGGGGCTGGTCTTTATAGTGTGGGATGTTCAGCAGCAGCTGGTCTTGACCCACCAGTGCCAGGAGCATTTCACCCCCCAACCCCCAGTCGTGACAATCAAAAATGTCGGAGCAGCCTGTATGGCTCAGTGGTTTAGCACTGCCGTCAACCCAGGGCCTGATCCTGGGGACCCAGGATCGAGTCCCGCGTCGAGCTCCCTCTATGGAGTCTGCATCTCCCTCTGCCTGTGTCTCTCATGAATAAATTAAAAAAAAAAAAAAAAAAGACCCCAAACTGCTGAATGTCCCCTAGGAGACAAAATTGCCTGTGGTGGAGAACCAGTGCTCTATACTAATCTAGAAGTTTCATTTCTTGGCCACTCTTGGATTCCCAGACTGCCTGTCCCCAGCTCTGAATGGGACTCCATGGCCAAAGCTAACCTTAGTGTCCTTTCTCAGACTATGCCATCTCCAAGCCCGAGGTCCTCTCCCAGACCGAACAGGGGAAGGAGCCGTGCAGCTGGCGTCGCCCTGGCCCCAAGGTTCCAGATGTTCCTGTGGACCCAAGTCCAGGTGAGGAGCTGAGAGAAGGCAAGGGACACCAGGCAGTCAGGTGGAAACAGGGAAGTAAAGGGCCACAGGGGTATGACCTTTCCAGGAAGGGCCAAGAAGAAACCTCAGACTCGAATGTTTTAAGTCTAAGTTTTTTAATAGTTATGACCCATAGCCTGTTCTTCAGACACTCCAGGAATACTTCCCAGTGTGGAAAACAGGCAGCAAACCTAGTCTTTTAGAAGAGAGATAGGGCAGCCCCGGTGGCTCAGTGGTTTAGCACCACCTTTAGCTCAGGGCCTGATCCTGGAGACCTGAGATCGAGTCCCACGTCGGGCTCCCGGTGCATGGAGCCTGCTTCTCCCTCTGCCTGTGTCTCTGCTCTCTCTCTCTCTCTCTCTCTCTCTCTGTGTGTGTGTGTCTCTCATGAATAAATATATAACATTAAAAAAAAAAGTAAAATTCTAAAAAAAGAAAAGAGATAGAGCCAGTGCACAGATCAGGGGAAGAGAAGATAGGACATTGATCGGGAAGGTAGGAGTGTGTTGAAGACAAAATTTGATTCCTTCCCAGTGTTCTGAAGAGCCAGCCTTACCCCCAGCCAGGAGCCAATCCCAGTGGCTGGCCACATGTTTCAACATGATTATAACGACAGATTTATTTAAGGTGGATCTGGATACCCGATATCCCTGCCTCAGATCTTCCTGGAGCCAGCCAGCACCTCTGAAAGTTCAGGAGGAGGCAGGTGGCTGCGTGAGGAAAGCCAGGTTACTGAAGTGAGGCCCTCGGCAGGTGCGGGGAGGTGACAGTCTGTCCCTGGCCAGGAGACCCTGCCTCTGCAGGCTCAGCCCACTTTCTGCACAGAACTGCCTTGCCTGTCCCACCTGCCTCGGGTTCCCCTGTCTGAATGCCTGTGTTACTAAACAAGTCCTACTGTGTTTCCTTTGTGATTACTGACATGCGTCTTCCACCGCAAGTAGGCAAGTAGAGTGTCATACTGCCAGAGCAGCCCATGCGCAGAGCCAGCCACACTGTCGGTGTTCAGGACAGCCGTCACCAGTTGAGTTCCACAGACATCCCTTGAGACTATGCTAGGTGCCAAGGCCAGAGCTGGAAGGGGAGGACAGAGAGATCACTAAGCAGAACGCTCTGTGGATGGAGAAGAGGCTTAGACGTGGAGCCTGGCTTCCTAGCCTGGGGTGGGGGGACAGATGTGGGGGCCTCTCCGCTTCCCACTCCGCCACTCATGAATGTGAGAACGGGCCCAGAAATACGGTGGCTGCTGGTGAGACCCCCGACACGCCCTCCCCTCCCACACAAATTCCGCTCTCCACCTCCCCTGACATTGAGGACCCTATCACCCCACCCACATCAGCTGGAAAAGCCCTACCCCACCCCTCAGCTCGCTCCGCACCCTGTCTGTGCTTGCGCAGCCCCTTGTTGGATCTGCCGTCCCACTTGTTTTCAGTTCCTAAATTTTCCCACTGCTTTGGGGCACTCAGTCCCTAGCAAGGCCTCAGATCCCCGGCTCTCCCCGAGCATCCCCTCATTCTTGTCCAAATGAGTCCTAGCTCTTCTTGCATCCTGGAGCCTGCATCCACTGCGGCCCACCCCTTCCTCACATCCAGGGCAGCCGTGTCCCTGCTCCTCCATGTGGCCCCTGTGCTCCCCTCCTCCCTGGAAACCCCACCTCTCCCTCAGTTGCCTCCTGCAGACCCTGTCTTTGCTCCTACCATTCTGGCCGGCTAGGGCAGCATTCCCAGAGGCCCTGTGAGGTCCCCAGTCTCCGCTCCCCCTCCACCACCCACCCTAAGGTCACTCCCCGCCCCAGCACCCACTGCAGACAGTGATGCACCCCTCCCATCATCTCAGTTTGAACCTGCCCCCACCCCGTACCCCTCTCCTTCTTTTGCAGATCTCTCTTCCTAGGCCCTGACCCCAGCATCCAGCCCGTTCATGGCCCAGCTGGTCCTGGATTCCCTCTTTGCCCAGCCAAGGCTCTGGCCCAGTGTCACCCTCGCCCCCTCACCCCTCTTCGTCATTGTACTCACCTGGCAGAACTGTAATCTTGGTTAAATCTGCACCTGCTCCCACGCAGCTGCACACGGCTGGAGAGACCTCCTGAGCCCTGTTTTTCTCACCTGTAGGCTGGGGGGCCTTCAGCACTGCCCCCCCAGTCACCCAGTGTCTCCTTGGTCCATTCAATTGCCCAGAGGTTGGCAAACTCTGGCCCACAGGCCAAATCACCCACTGTGTTTTTTTCGCCCACCAGCTTAGAATGGTTTCCCTGTTGAAAAAATGCTGTTTAATTGGAAAAAAAAAAAAAAAAAAAAGGAAACAACTCACAGCCCCCTCCCCGACCCCACCAGCCTATCTGCTTGTACCCGGGCCCTGGTCTCTGGGTTTGCCGCTGTGGCCACCCCTTCCTCCAAAGACCTGTCTCCACTGGGCATCAGACCCAGCACAGGCTACCTTGGTGAGGCCTCGGGTTGCCTCCCCATCCTTCCCACCAGCCTCTGCCTTTGCTGTCACTTGTCCGGTTTGGACACTGACCACTCATGACCCCACATCCCTGCAGCAACTGCCCCATTTCTACCTTCGTGTCCTGCTCCCCAGGAGTACCCTCCTCCAGTGCCTGCTTTCTCCCATTCCTCTTCCCGCTCTGGAGGCCCTTCCATCAATACTCCTGTCAAGGCCACAGGGGCTCCCCATGGCATTAAAGATCTGGTCTTACCATTGGTGACATTTGCAACCATTGCTCGCTTTCTTCCCAGATTCATTTCTTTGATGGTGCTTCCCCTCCTGGTTTTCTCCTGCCTTACTTAACACCTTTCCTTTGCTGTTTCCTGGTGCTCTTCCTGACCTCTGTGCGTCAGCGTGTCCTCCCTCCTCCCTCCACACCCACACTTGCCATCCTGGCAGTGGCTGTGAGGGCTCTGCATGCCACCTCTGTGCCTACAGCTCCCACAGTGCCCTTGTCCAGCTCCTCCCTGAATTCTGCACCCCCAGCTGCCTGGTCTGTCTCCACTTGGATGGGATAGACATCTTGTGCCAAGTACATGCCCAGCAGATCTCCTCCTCCCCTCATCCCTCCACTCAGTGTCTCCTCTGCCCTCCCTTCAGTTGCAGGCCAAGACCCAGAGGTCAGCCTCGACCCTTCCTCACACCTACATCCATCAGAACTTCTAGAAGCTAGCACTCCCTCCAGACTCATCTGGAATGCTATCACATCTCATCTCCTTTACCCTGCCACCCAAACCCATCATCTCTTGTGATTCCCCTCCCAACCAGCCTGCCCACTCCTGCACTATTCAGTCCCCCGGAGTAAGCCCTATGTTCTTTGCTTCCAAACCCCTTACTGGCTTCCCTCTGACTCAGATACTTTGGCTTATTTTTCTGTTAATATCTTGCTCCCTCTGTTCCTGCCATACCATCCTCCTTGCTGTCCCCCCAACACTCGGGGCTGTTCAGGCTCTGAGCCTTTGCATGCACAGTGCCCTGTGCCGGGAATGCCCTTCAGGTACTCCCCAGGCTCCACCCATTCCCTCCTTTGGGGTTCTGACTTAAAATTTAAATTGTCACCTTATTTAAAATTGCAGCCCCTTTCCCCACCCAGAACTCCCAGTGTCCTTTTCCTGCTTTGGTTTGTTCCACAGCAGATAGCATCATCTAGTACATGTATTTCTAGATTGTTATATATCTTTCATACTTACAGAGTTGATAGAGGTAGATATTACACATATTTCAGAGAGAGAGAGATGATAGATTTCATATTTATAGATTTCTGTATGGCCAGCCAGGCTCTCCCCATTAAGATGTGAATATCAAAAGGACAAGTACTTTTATTTCTTGTGTTCATACGATCATTCCAGGCCCCTCAATACTGACTAGCACAGAGTAGGAATTCAATTATTTGTTGAATGTATGTAGTGTACAGAATTTAAAATACTTGTGTATTAAAATAGGTGTGTTAAATTCCTTGTTAGATTTCCTAGACTCATTCTTCCCCATGGTAACCAGTTGTCCAGAAGTTTATGTTTATCTCGTTCTTTCTACCCACATTTTAAAACTTTTATTTAAAGCTATTATGTATATATGTAACCACAAGGAATATATGATACAGTTTTGTGTGTTTTGAGAAATGGTATAAATGTCATTGTATTTCTCACTCAATTATCATGTATTTCAGATTTGTGTCTGTTGATCATTCATTTTATTTTATTTTATTCTTTTTTTTTAAAAGTTCCTTTATTCTTTTTTTTTTTTTTTTTTAATTTATTTGTGATAGTCACACAGAGAGAGAGAGAGGCAGAGACATAGGCAGAGGGAGAAGCAGGCTCTATGCACCGGGAGCCCGACGTGGGATTCGATCCCGGGTCTCCAGGATCGCGCCCTGGGCCAAAGGCAGGCGCTAAACCGCTGCGCCACCCAGGGATCCCGATCATTAATTTTAACAGATGCTTAATATCTGTTCTCCAAAGCAACTTTGTTCCCATTTGTTCTCCATTGGTCTGTTAATTTGCATTTAAGTTGGTTCTGATTTTTCACTCTCACGAGTGATACCACAGTGGGCAGAGACACAGAGACACAGAGACACCCGTCTCTCTGTGTCCCTGCACTGCGGGCTCTCCGGGGAACAGACCCAGGGCAGACCCCCCGCATCATGGGGCATACTTGGCACCTCACCATTGCCATGGTGACACAGCTTGTACTGCTCCTATCAGCAGTTACAAGTACCTGTTGTCTTACATCTTTGCCCTCCTTCAGCATTAGATTCTTGTCAATCTGATGGAGGTTGAAATGACATCTTATTTTAATTTGCATTTCCCCGACTCTTACTGAAGTGGAGCACCCTTTTCATGTTTATGTGGTTTCTTCAGTGAATTGTCTCTTTCTGTTTTTCTACTGGTGCTTTTCACTCTCTTATTGATTCAGACTTCTGTATACAGGTTCTGGATCCAAACCCTTTGTCTCTTATTTGCATTACAAATATCTTCCCGGTCTGGGGCAGGTGTTTTAAC